TGAGTAGCAGATCCTGCTCCACACGCCTAGAGTGCCCTCTAGTGGCTGTCGGTGTTAAAATAACAAACACGTGAAATTATATATAATTATATATACGTCGCACCTGAGTGTAAATCGCAAACGCAGCCAAAGGATGAAAAAATGTGGGAAAATACGGTAATAACATTACAGACCAATTCTCCATTATTTTAAAAGTCTTTAGAGTAAAATACTAAATATTAGTTGTGACATTTAAATAGTCTTTAGCTCAGTTTTAAAAAAAAAACAAAACATACCATGCATTTTTTAAATTGGGCTTTATTGTTTTTCTAATGTGCCCAGTGCGATTTATATTCCGAGCGGCCTGGGAAATACGGTAAGGAAACATTAAATTTAATCACGCACGGCTCTTCATGTAGTTTTAAAAAACGGAGGCCTGTGATGGCGCCAGGTCGCCCCTGTGAATACGTGATGACACATTGCGGATGGTTATGGTCCTCCAGGTTCTGGTGCCCCGTCAGCAATTACCAACAGTCCTTAAACGGCTCTCCCGCTCAGGCCTTGATTCTAAAAGAGTGGATTTGGTGGTAGCAGCACATCGGGTTTATTATAATTCAATAAAGCCTTAATGTCGGCAATGTATTCATCATCAGCTTCTTGAAAAACGAGAATACGGAATCGCTCATTAGTCTCATCCAGCTGTAATTCGCAGCGATTGTGGCTTCACATCAGCCCTTCACATCTGAACCTCCAATTTTAAAAACGACGGAAAAAAAAAAAGTGGTCATAAACACCGTCTCCGTAGCGCACTCGAAGACCGCTGCCCCGTAAGTGCGGTCCGCCGCCTGTCGAAAATGGAAACAGCATCAAACGCCGCATGACTCCCATTTCTAGCCCAGTGACATTTTCAAGCACCGCTGCTCTTCGTCAGACCGCCCTTGAGGAGAAGAAAACATCTAGGCACATTTACTCCAGCTGCTGTATATTGTACCACGAGTGCACTGATCATGAGGCTGCCTTTTCACCACCTGTAAGAGGCTGGTATTAAGGGGGAAGATGAAAGCTCCGAGACACCAACCGGGCTGCTGTACTATAGGCTGCCAGTCAGTAACACGCAGGACGCAGTCAGCCAGATCAGAGTGAAATTCAGGCTGGAGGGCCGATTTTTGAAGAAGGATGACTGCGAAGGTGGAGCTGAAAGAAATCACTCTGAGCCTGAAACATCCTGACCAGGGTAAAGGATGACCTGCCAAGCTCTGGACGGGACGGGACTGATGAAGACGGTGTTTGTGTCCTTTTTGTGGCAACCCTGCCCGTTTTTTTTTTTTTTTTCCGAGGCACGTCCAGGCCGTCTAATGTTTTTCGACATCGGTAAAGCAGTGCACATTCAAGGACAATGGATTGTTTCCTCTTTCTCAGAGACGTCATCCACTCAGTATTTATCCAAAGAGACAGTTGTTCACAATAGAGAAATCGAATCATCTCAAACTGACCAATAGATCGCCAGGCAACAACTGTAGTTTCAATGATTCTATTTTTTTGCATATTGAATCATTGATAAGAAGGAAAAGGGCATCAAACCGCCGGCCCGTGGGCCAGTAACGGTCCATGAATCATTTCAAGATTCAATATTTCTATTGGCCATTTGTGCACAAAGCCATGCAGTTCAGACACATAGGAATTCCTGTGTCGGGCTTGCTAGGTGAAGATAACTTAAAAATACTGGTAGAAATACAAGAAAGTATAACGAGGCTTATTTTAATTTATTATTCTCCAACTTTTTTTTTATGCTCACATCTGGCTACTGCTGTTTTCAGTGCTTGACTCAGTCACAAATATTTGTTCGTACACCAGAAGGCCTTCAACGTACTTTAGCAAAAAAAACAAACAAAACAAATGTTGCTGTGGCGCTTCTTTAAAAAGAAGAAAATGCCTGTTGATATGACAGCAAAAAAAACCAAACATCTGAAATTAAAGTATATTACATCAAGAAATATTATATATATATATATATATATACATATATATATATATACACTACATATATTTTGTAAATATATTGTATATATTTACATAATAATTAAATGTTGTGCTTGTAACTTGCAACTTGGAGTATCTGCCAATACAAACATCAATCCGATACCTATTTTTTCTCCTCCAGCATGCCATTGGTTGCTATTGCTAAGGTGTTAGCATTCCTCTTTATGCCATGTGGCGCAAAGTTAAGTTGACCATTTGGACTAAGGTATCAAATCGGGCAGGCTATAGTTGTTTTATTCGCCGTTCGATCCTGAAATTTTGACCAATATCTGACCGATATTTATTCTGAGTATCGGATCGAGCCATCCCTACTTATAACCTTCCTGATTTTCTGGGGACCCATATTTTAAAAGTCACAAAACTTCATGACCCAAATCAGTAGATTCGTAAATTCCTGGGAAACATGATGCGAGACTACCCGGAAAAAAAGCTCTTGCGACCCACCTGAGGGTCGCGATCCAGTCTTTGGGAAACAATGTGCTTAGACCATGGAAAAACATCTTGCAGCCTTTCATGCAAAAATGGTTGAAGGCCATGATTCTGGGGTACATTTTCAGTAAAAAAAAAACAAACAAACATATATATTTATAAATGTCTAGTATATTTCCAGAATATTATATCTGAAAATATAATTTGAAACAATATCAAGATATATGTTTTTACCTCTTGTGCAGCTGCTTTGTGTTGCTACAGTGTTTAAATGCTAACGCCGCATCATGTCATCCTTCTCCAGGGACCTCAAGGAGCTGCTGGGTCAGAGGGCAGGCAAGGAGAAAAGGGCGCCAAGGTAAAAAAAAAAAAAAAAAAATCAATACTTCCTTTAACACAGTTAAAGTATTTTTAGCAACACACCACATTCCCCTCTAACTGCATTTCCCCCATCATCTTTTATCAAAAGCAACAAAGCAAAAAAAAAAAGTGCAGAAAGTCATTTACTTCGAGCTACTGATTAGATGGAAATTTATGGACACGCACACTTTTATGAGTAAATGTTATAATCGACTTCTTTCTCCTTTTGTGATGTGGCTGAAAACTCCAGACCAACAAATGGAGTCGACTTTTACATCCAGCCCCGTGGTTTGCCTGAGTCACTGTGAAGCACAATTCCTGTATTTAATCAGAGTTCAGTGAAGGTTTTTCTTCAGTTCCTTTATACTCAATACGGACCCTTTTTTTTTACGCTCCTTCTACGTTTTGTTAGCTTGTAACGTGGTTTATAAAAATCATTAATTCCAAAGAAAACATTTCATTTTGAAAATGCTCTCTTTATTTCCTTCGGTCCTTAGATTTTTTTTTTTCAATCTTTAAATCATACTGTTTCACTATGTATTGGTGAAAACTCTGTATTTTGAGGGAGAAACATTTTTGCTTCGTTTGCCTCTTGTTCGGTTCTTGCTGCACACTATTGTCGCATAATTTAAATAATGCGAGTCAGTGCTGAATTCTTAAGCGTCCTCCGAGATGCTGTAGGGCTTGACAAGATGTCAAAGGTTGAAGATTTCTTATCTTATTATATATACATTCGTAATAGAGCGTGATCCGTTGTTATTCGCAGAAGTTTTTTTCCTCTAAAATGAAAAATCTGATTAGCATCAGTCACAGCTGAAACTTGTAAAAAGTCACTTTTTATTTTCTGGAATATTTGGAAATCATCAGGCAGGAAATAAATTGGTATAAGTCGCTCCGGAAATATAAGTCGCGCTGGCCGAAGGATATAAGTCGCTCCGGAATATAAGTCGCACTAGCCAAAGCATTCGGCTGTCAGTGTGAAAATAACAAACATGAGAAATTGTATATTTTAATTTATAAGCCGCAAACCCAGCCAAAGGATAAAAAAAGTGCCACTTATAGTCCGTATGATCAAAAATATACCAACATTAGTAATAATTGCTGGAAAACACAAGCCTAGAGTGCCCTCTAGTGGCTGTCAGTGTGAAAATAACGAACATGTGAAATTATATATTTTAATATATAAGTCGCACCTGAGTCGCAAGGATAAAAAAAAAGTGCGACGAGTCCGGAAAATGCGATAATATGTAGGATTTTGTAAGTAAATAAATATATTGGTTTCATCACAGACCTGAATCTGACATATATTGACATACATTTGCCGCTTTCAGCTCAAAACATCCATCAACTTGATGGAGCAAGTCAGGTTGCTTACATTATATGTCCTGTTTCTGACATTGTCTCTGTCTCCACCTACAGGGTGAGGCTGGTGCAGAGGGTCCGGCAGGTAAAACGGGACCAGTAGGACCCCAGGGACCTCCGGGAAAACCTGGTCCGGAGGGCTTGCGTGGAATCCCCGGTCCTGTGGTAAGTACACTAGAACTCGAACTCCCAGCCACAGTGAGCATACAAGCAGAACTTTCCATTCTGTTCAGGTGACTTGATGGACCTCATGGAATAATCGATACTCCCATTTGGCTTATAATTTAGTTTCACTTGTTTATTCCAACACACTTTTTCCCTCCGTTTGGGCTATTAATCACCGTGCTCAGCACAGAAAATCAATGGGGAGCTGAAGAAAACACAGCAGGCTGTAACACTCACTGCAACCGAATGCCTTTTTCCACAGGGAGAACAAGGACTACCAGGCGCTCCGGGACAGGACGGTCCACCTGGCCCCATGGTCAGTAAGAAAAATCCATCTCCCAGTGGCACATGTCAAAACTGAAATTAATCTGTTACTGATGCCATTAAATACTCAAAAAAGTGTGTATTATTTATGTTTGATTTTTTTTTTATTTTTTTTTTTTCAGGGTCCTCCTGGTCTTCCAGGTCTGAAAGGTGATCCTGGATCGAAGGGTGAAAAGGTGAATGTCACTCCTTCCTTGACAATGTCATTAAATTATTTACTCATCAATCGAGCTAAACGCTAGCTAAAAGTTACTACGTGGTTCGTGTCATTTCCGACCATCTAAGAAACAAATATTGAATTTATTGTATCTCCTATGAAAGGGCGGGAACGGTCAAAGATCAAGCACGATAAATCACTCCAAATGGTTACATTTTTTTTCCCCCCGTGCTGCCGAGTGTCAAATTTGTAGATGAAATATAACTGCCGTGCACGTCCAGACAGCGCATATTACTTCAGATTGCCTTTCGCACAGTGACACGGCAGTTTGACCGACTAAGGAGCTAACCTCCTTTACGTCATCCTTTACTTCTCCTAGTGTTTCCTGGTGTCCAAATATTTAAACCGACTAAGGAGCTAACCTCCTTTACGCCGTCTTTTACTTCTCCTAGTGTTTCCTAGTGTCCAAATATTTAATAATAATTAATTGCATTTAATATGAATCAATCTAATTGGTCGCAGTTGTCTGGACTGTTTCTAAGAAGAGCTTTAAAATATTTTGGCTACTGTTTGAAAATCACGTTTTGAGGTAAAAAAATGAAACTTTCATCAATTCCTGCGCAGTATCTATTTGTGACCTGTCTGTCGACACATAAAGGACACCGCTGTAATCATTATTTGTTCTCCGTGTTCTGTTTTTTTCGACCTGCAGGGTCACCCAGGTCTGATTGGTTTGATCGGACCGCCCGGAGAGCAAGGAGAGAAAGGAGACCGAGGTCTGCCCGGACCCCAAGGTTCACCTGGTGGCAAGGGTGACAGTGTAAGAGATTGATGACTCCCTTCTTATCCTGGCCTTCCACCTCCTGCAACAGTCATTTGTTCTGATTTTAACCCTAGCGCGGGGGGTCGGATATCACTTATATTCACAGGGAGCAGATTTACAAAAATTTGTAAACGACACTTTGTCTTCATTTTAGTTGTTTATCATTTACTATCATTTGAGACCGGCTCAGATTTTCTCAGGTTTCCATCACTCCTTTTTTAGATCCTCTAAAACACGGACAGATTATCTATTCTCCCCGCTGAGTCCTCTAGCGAAGGTTGAACATCGGTGAAGGACTAACGACAGCCTTCATCCATTTTTAAATAAACACCGCGATGGCTAAATATCTGCCCTGCTGTGTCCCTCCACAGCCTGCCCTGACTTAGTGATTTGAGGTGACGGGCTGGACTAAGTATCGGGAGATTAGCCTAATGAATCAGTAATGTCCCCCTTTGTCAAAGCATAAGGGGCTTCAAAAAGCCTCCGCACTTTAGTATTCTCTGTTCTGGCCGTTCCAGAAAGAAGAAACCGATCTTTTATTTCCAGAGATCGACACGGAAATCTCTTTTGACTGAAGTTTGTCACAAAGTTTGCGATTTCTAATGTACTTTGTTTCCTCAAGGAGAGCAGTTCAGGACAGTCGATCAACGCGACGAATATATTTTTTAATTATCTCTATAAACAATATTGATTCAAATATTTTTATTCTCACGCTGCTTCCTGTTTTTTTATTCTTGCAAGTCTTGTGTCTCTATAAAGCATTGCGTAGTGCAGACGTGTCCAAAGACTGGCCCGGGGACCAATTACAGCCCATGGTCAAATTTTATACGGCCCGCAGCCTTCGTCTTAAAACACGTCCTGTTGCCTACTAGCACACGCGGCTATCAAAATAAAAGTTTTCACCACCGTTCAGCTTTATTTGAACCTAAAAACTGAGTGATTGATTTATTCTTATCATAAAAAAATGTATGGAATCAGAGTCAGGAATTCGCTATTGATTTTCCGGGAGGGTGTAATTTAGCTGAAAAATGATTTTTCAAATTCTGTTTAAGACGATACGATTGGTATTAGTCGCGCAATACGAGGTCTTTCATGACAATTTCTTCAATCCGTCTTTGAGTTTTTAAAGCCTTTCGTCTGTTTGTCTAACAGGGTATCGGTGGTTCCTCTGGTCCTCTGGGTCCTCCTGGTCCCCCTGGTCTGCCTGTAAGTCTTTGATCGCGTCACTCATTCAGAATTCCCCATCGTCTTTGGTTGGACGTTAACAAAGTGCTGTGCTCTTTCTCCCACCAAAACACAGGGTCCACAAGGTCCTAAAGGATCCAAGGGTTCCTCTGTAAGTCAACGCTCTCTTTTAGTTTTGAAGTCGCGTACCATGTCCAAAAGAGGCTAACGTTATCATTCCTGTTTCGACCAGGGTACCGCGGGGCCAAAGGGAGACACCGGTTCGGTTGGTCCTCCCGGTCCTCCAGTGAGTATTTATACGACTCGTCGTTAGAAATGACGTCATTAGCGCGATGGAATTCTTCAAACATCTTAATTGCGTTCCTTAGGGTCCGCCCGGTGAGGTCATCCAGCCACTGCCCATCCAGTCACCCAAGAAGACCAAACGCTCCAGCGACGTGCAGTCGGACGCCGCCGGTTTCCTCATGGATTACGGCGAGGGCATGGAGGACATTTTCGGCTCGTTGAACAACCTCAAGCAGGACATCGAGCGAATGAAGTACCCAATGGGAACAGAGAACAATCCCGCAAGGACGTGCAAAGACCTGCAGCTGAGTCACCCAGAGTTCCCTGATGGTACGTTTTTAATGTTAAGGGTTTGGGTAAAACGATCGAAGTGTCGCTTATTTGTCTGAGGGAAAGATAAATGGTCGGCAACCGATGGAGTAGATCCTCTCAGCTGGTTTGTTTTTGTTCCTTTATCTGGTTTGTTTTTTCAGTATTTGAATTTGATACTGGAGCTGAAAAATAGTGATTCTTTCGGTAACTATATGCCAACTCTTATCAGGTATTATTTTATAGGACTCACTTGCTGTACAGCAACCTGGAAATATTAAGTACGATGACAACTACAGCAACGTTATTTACTGTTTATCTGTTGTGTTTATAGGGGAAAAAAATGTTCCAACCCAATACTTTTTTTTTCCCCAGTAGTTTACAACCTTTTTTGGCAAAAAATGTTCCAACCCAATACTTTTTTTCCCCAGTAGTTTACGACCTTTTTTTGAGCATTTTTGAGCATTTTTGTGACCCAAATTTTAATCACAAATTTCTGTTGACCCAAGAAAAAAATATTTCAATTAATTAATTAAAAATATTTTTCTAGAATTAGTTTTTGATCATCTGTGCTGTGTGAACTCTGAAGATAGTGTTTTAAATCACAATTTTAAAAAATTAATAATTGGTTGAAAAATTATTTTTATCAGTTTTTTTTTATCAATTAGTCCACATATCAGACGACCCCCATTTGAATTCCATTGGGTTCGCGACCCCAAGGTTGGAAAACAATGCCGTATTCATTCATGTCAGAAAGAAAAATTTAAAAATTTGGGCTATGGATAAGATTCACACTGGAATGTAAAAATCAGATTTAGATCAATTTAAACAGGATGTTTCTGTGTGTTTGGTTTGCCTCAGGTGAATACTGGATCGATCCGAACCAAGGCTGCTCAGGGGATTCCTTCAAAGTCTACTGTAATTTTACTGCAGGGGGCGAAACCTGCATCTACCCAGATAAGAAGTCAAATGGAGTAAGTAAAAAAAAAAATCGGTCTCAGATTTATACGCTTATCTGGGTTTGAATAACAAATCTATAGCTAATGCTAATGTCTGTTTTTAACATTCTCCGACTTTTGTTTTTCACAGGTCAGAATATCTTCATGGCCCAAAGAGGTTCCGGGAACATGGTACAGTGAATTTAAGCGCGGTAAAACAGTAAGTTTTTTTTTTTTTTTTTCTCCCATCTCCAGCTTTACCCACTAGGGCTTAAAGTAGCAGTGCGATACTTTAATACATCAAGAATAATACTGCTCCGTCGCTCTCCTGCTTTTTATGAAAGGACAAGAGCTGCCTTTTTTTTTTTTGACGCTAGAGTCCTATTTTCAGTCATTGAGCAAGTTACAGTTCTTTGACAGTTCCGGCTGAAAAATAGGGCATTAAATAAAACATGACAGAGGACTGTGGCAGAATATCTATGAAGTGGAGGATTCCCGTCGTCCTCTCTCTGCCCCTGAGCTGTTTCGTACGGAAGATTTGCCGCCGTTTCCTGTTGTCGGGGAATGAAAGACGCGCACATGCTCTCCTCGATCCGTCTCATGTCACGACGATGTGTACAGTTTTTTTTTGTTTTTTAGAAATAACGCTACAGCACTTCAGCTGTGACCTCCTTTATTCTGGCAGAGAATCCACTCGCAGAACTCGTTCTGTTATCAGGGTCCTTTGTTATCTGTGGAGCTTTTTGTTTTTCCGAATAAAACGGCGGCTTGGATTGTTTTGTTTTTCTCATAAGATAACACTTTTTTTTTTTTTTTTTTTTGGCAAAATTCACTCTGTGCGGAGGGTTTGAATCAGACTTTGGTATCGATTTTGGTAGCAAATTGCTTTAGTTTGAGTTTTTGTTGTGTATCTTTGTACTTTGAAGTTTTTTATCACTGTTATAAACAACAAACAATCAAGAATCAGACTTTGGTATCGATTTTGGTAACAAATTGCTTTAGTTTGAGTTTTTGTTATGCATCTTTGTACTTTGCAGTTTTTTATCACAGTTATAAACAACAAACAATCAGCGAACTTAACAGTGTAGTCCGTTCCGATCTCATTCGTATTCTTCTTTCGTCCCTTCCCCCCCGAAGCTATCCTACACTGACGCGGATGGAAAAGAGATAAACATGGTACAGATGACCTTCCTTAGACTACTGACGGCCTCGGCCAGGCAAAACTTTACCTACAGCTGCCACCAATCCGTGGCATGGCACGACGCCACCAACGACAACTACGACAAGGCGCTGCGATTCCTGGGCGCCAACGACGAGGAGATGTCCTTCGACAACAACCCTTACATCAAGGCCGTTAAAGACGAATGCGCGGTAAGTCGTCTGTTTCTAACATCGTTTTAGGTCACCTCAGTTTTCCGACATTTGTTCGACAAGTTTATAGGATGTCAGAAAATTACGTTCCAGATCCATCGGTGAA